AGGGATCGCCTATGTAGGGGCTGCGACGCCCCCTGGTTGTAGTGTCCAGAACGCGTCCTCGGTCCTGCGCAATACCACCCATCTTGATCCCATCCCTCGCTGGTTCCTCGGCTAACAGGGGTGAGCCATGGAAGCCGTGCCGCTTGCATCAGGCGCCCACGGCCCGCGGTTTGGTGCGTTTCTGGTGCTCGCTGCCTACAGCCGATACGTCGAGCTTCGTGCCCCTAGAGCTGCGCGTCATTGCGGCCTCCTCGGGAGCTCCACGCTATCACCGTATTATCCACATCAACGAAGTGGGTAAGTGCGTTGAGAATGGAGGAGTGATTGAAAGGGGGTCCCAGCCTCCGCCTACCTGAGTAACCCCTCTCCGCAGTGCTCCTAGACCCTCCCGCTGAACTGCTGGCGCGGCGAGCCGATGAGGGCGGCCACGTAGTACTGCGCTGGCTTCCGCCGCCTGGGGCACCCATGGCGAGTCTTATCCGCTACGAGGTGAACATCTCGGCAGAGAACGCTGCAGGGGTCTCGCAGAGGGTGAGGCCCTAATTCTACTGCCTATCGCCAAAGGCTCGGGTCGACAGCCCCTCTAAGTCCCAACCAGACGGTCACCACAGCCCCGCTCCCATGGCCTCGCCCCTCCACGTGCCGCCGAGGCAGCTCCACGTCCCCCAACTTGTCCCCTTTCCCAATGTACCCCTTCCCCAGTCCACCTGGACTCAGTCTCATCCCCTTGTCCCAAACCCTAGACCTATCCAGAACCCCGCCCCCTGTGTGCTGTGGCCCCGCAAATAGCCCGAGTCCGCCCCCAGCTACCTGGGGCCCCGTCCTGATTGGCCCTGAGCCTTCCCGGGCTCTGCCTCCTGCTTTTATTACCCGCCTCCCCATGCTTCGGCTAGATTCTTTCTTTCTGATTGGTTCCGTCCCTCAGGGCCCACCCAGCACGTACCCTTCTTTGCCTACCACGCCTCTTACTCGGGCCTCGCTCCCAGGTGGAGATCCTCGATGGCCGCACTGAATGCGTGCTGAGCAACCTGCGCGGCGGAACGCGCTACACGTTCATGGTGCGCGCGCGTATGGCCGAGCCGAGCTTCGGTGGCTTCTGGAGCGCCTGGTCTGAGCCTGCGTCGCTGCTGACGGCTAGTGGTGAGACCTCAGGCAGGGGTGTAGGAGGGGCTGGACCGAGCACGAGGCAAGCTCATCACCCTGACCTCTTCCCTGCTCCCCAGACTTGGACCCCCTCATCCTGACGCTCTCCCTCATCCTCGTGCTCATCCTGCTGCTGCTGGCCGTGCTCGCCCTGCTCTCCCACCGCCGGTGAGCGCCCCATTCAGGCACCTGCCTTGGACTCCTCACCAACGTTCCCCTTTCCGTGTGGAAACTAGGCAGAAAGGGGCAGGCACTTGCTCAAGGTCACACGATGAGGGGTCAGTGGCAGGGCTAGGATGCAAGCCAGGGCAGACCCAGACTCTTAGTTAAAATCCTCCACTCTTGGGCATAATTTCACCTGGTTTTCCTCCTACCTCAGTGACTGCCCCTTCCTGGATTCCTTTTCCCAATTTCATCAACTTCTGTAAAATCAACCAGATGGGCTTAATGGAACAATTTAACCCCAAGTGCCTCCTGCCCCGTTGTCAAGCTCCTCGGGCGCTTTATGATATGACCAGCAATTCTGAGGCTTTTGAAACTCCAAGTACATAGCATGTGGTTTCACACCCCCACCCCTGGCATATGCTGTTCTTTCTGCCTGGATTTTCCTTCCTGCCATGTCTGCCAATCAGTCTCCTTGTTGTCTTTCAAGGCCCTGTTCATCTACTTGGTTGGAAAGTACATATTAAGTGCCAACTATGTGCTAGGCACTGGGGAGAAAGTGTAGGGTAAACCAGACATGTCCCTGACCTTGTGGATCTCATAGTTGAGTCAGACAGATATACATAAGGGAACTTGCAGATATTTGATTGTAAATTGTGATGAGTGATATCACAGAAACAAATGGGGCATGGGGACATGAGAGGATAGTCAGGGAAAGCCTCTGGGAGGTGACATCAGAGCAGAAACTTGAAGCCTGGGAGGAGGCAGCCACATGACAAGCAAGGAGGAGAAACAGCAAGTGCAAAGGCCCTGAGAACGGAATGAGCTTGGAACACTGAAGCAGCTGCAAGAAAAGCTATATGGCTAGAGCACAGTGTGTGAGGGGAAGTGGTGAATGATGAAATGAGGGAGGTGACAGGTCAGATCATGCAGGGTCTTCTGCAAGGCTGTGGGGAGGGGTTTAGATTTTATTCTGAATACATTGGGGAAACATAGAAAGGAGTGAAGAGAGAAGTAATAGACTTTTAGGCAAGCCTGATTCAGTTTTAGAGGGGACATAAAGCAGTGTATTTGAACTCCTATGCATCCTTCAAAACTCTGTTCCAGTTGCCCTTATGTAGGGCCTTGCAGATGCTTTGGCAGAGCTCCTGTTCCTCAGCCCATTCACTCCTCTGCCTCCACCACAATCACGAGGGACTCAGTATCCACACCAAGTGACTGGTGCTGAGGCGGGTACTGATGAATGTGCAAGGACACATGCCCAGATACTCATTTCATTTGGCTTCACCAGGACTCTAAAGCAGAAGATCTGGCCTGGCATCCCAAGCCCTGAGAGCGAGTTTGAGGGACTCTTCACCACCCACAAGGGTAACTTCCAGGTAAGTGGCCCAGTTGTTCCCTCAGGGCCTGGGGCTTCCCTGCTCCTGTGGCTGAACGCCCAGTCTCTGAGCAGGCTGCTGCTGTCTCCCCAGTTGTGGCTGTACCAGACTGACGGCTGTCTGTGGTGGAGCCCCTGCACCCCCTTCGCAGAGGACCCACCTGCCCCTCTGGAAGTCCTCTCTGAGCACTGCTGGGGGGTCACCCAGGTCGGGGAGCCAGGACCAGATGAAGAGGGGGCCCTCCTGGAGCCTGTGGGCAGTGAGCATGCCCGAGACACCTACCTGGTGCTGGACAGATGGTTGTTGCCCCGGAGCCTGCCCAGTGAGGACCTCCCACGGCCTGGTGGCGGTTTGGACACAGCAGCCGTGGATGAAGCCTCAGAAGCATCCTCTTGCTCCTCCGCTTCAGCCCTGAAGCCTGGGCCAGAGGGGGCCTCAGCTGCCAGCTTTGAGTACACCATCCTGGATCCCAGCTCCCAGCTCTTGCGCCCAAGGGCACTGCCCACTGAGCTGCCCCCCACCCCACCCCACCTCAAGTACCTGTACTTCATGGTGTCTGACTCTGGCATCTCAACTGACTACAGCTCGGGGGGCTCCCAGGGAGCTCGGGGGGGCTCATCCAATGGCCTGTACTCCAACCCTTATGAGAACAGCCTTGTCCCAGCCTCCGAGCCTTCACCCCCGAACTATGTGGCCTGCTCCTAGGACTCCAGTCCTCAGGTGCTTGGGGGACCCAGTGTGACATCAAGTGCTACTGCATACCCAAGATTTATCAGGCAGCGTCAGTGTGGCCTCCCTTAGGACTAGAGGCGTTGCTGACCTTGGCTTTCTACTCAATTCATCCTACTCAGAAAGTCACAACCTTGCAGTATTTTTACATGTACAGTTTTCTATGTAGATATACATATAATATATATAAACACGTATAAGTTTTTCTGTCATGACTTCTATCAATACCCTGTAAGCCCCATCTTTTCCCTAGGCCCAGATCATAGGGGCAGCCAAAAAGGCCTTGAGTTCAGTCTGAAATTCTGATCTGGCCATAATAATAATAATAATGATAATAATAATAATAAAGTGAATTTAGGGGAAGGGTATAGCTCAGTGGTAGAGTATGTGCTCACCATGCACAAGGTCCTATTTTCAATCCTCAGTACATCCATTAAAAAAAATTAATAAACCTAATTTCTCCCTCCCCCCAAAAGAAAGCTTTTAAAAAAAGGATGAAAAATAAATAAATAAAATAAAACGAATTAGTCAGTATAAGTTATGCTAGCTGCCCTAACAAACAACTCCTGAATCTGAGTGGCTTAACATAGTAAATGTTTTCTCTCTCATATCTCAATTGAAACAAGGTGACAGCTATCCCTGGGATGAGACAGAAGGCCAGACTATGGCTTTGCCCAGGGCTGCTCTGGGGCCTTTAGATGGATAATCTGCATCTCGCCAACCAACAAGCAAAGAGGGAGACAGCAGAAGATTCTGTGGGCCATTTTAGGGATCTAGCCTAGAGGTGAGTGCTCTCTCTTCACAAATTCTCCTGGCCAGAAATGGTCATGAGACCCTGGCTAGAGCTGTTGCCAATGATCAGGTTCTTGTCTCGTCGCAGAAAGAATTCAGAGACAAGACATGGAGGTTAAGAAAGTAAAATGGGGATTTATTAAAGGACAGATAATACACTTGGGAGAGCAGGCAGGCTCAAGTGAGCGGCTGCCCTGAGTTTCTTTGGCAAGTTGGTTACATAGAGCGTAAAAATGAATCAGCAGACTATTCATTGGGGAGGGAAGGGTTTGGGTTTGTATTCCCTGATTTTCATCCCAACTACACCTTCCCAAAGGGAAGATGGATTTTTATCCTTATTTAGTTTGGATCGGAAGTGTCATGGCGTCAGCGCATGATGGCTACTTCTTATCTGCAAAGCTAATTTTATTGTAATGAGGGCATAAGTTGCAAAAGGTTACATTCGGACACTAGATTCTTGCCTTTTCCCACCTTTCTTTGTTGGCCTCCAGGCCACCTGTCACCCCAAAATGTGTGGTTTCTTATCAGCCCAGAGGTTCCTCCTTTTCCTTCTCTGCCCAGGGACCCCTGTTGTTTACATGCTGTATGGTTTCCTGCATTTGGCCTGTGCTCCTCCATTTTTGCCCAATTCCTGCCATTTGGCCTGCGTCCTCCTTTCTCTGCTCATATCTAACTATCTGGCTGCTCTAACAGAACCATGGACAGCTGGGAAATGTAGTTTAGCTGTGCACCCAAGAGAGAAAAGCTGTTTAATGAAACGCCAGCTAGTCCTTGCCACTAATAACAACAATAACATGCATTCATAAGGCTTTATTCTGAATCAGCCCTGTTCTAAGAACGCACTCTGATGACACCAAATGTCATCAAGTGGCTAGAACTGGGAGTTTGAGTTAACCACTTTTTTAAAGTTTCACATAACCTAGGAAAGCTGAACATATCCAGCAATTCCACTTCTAGGTATCTACCCTAAAACCCCTTGAATACATGAACCAGGACATGTCTGCAAGAATGTTAATAGCAGTAAATAAGCCAAACTGATGAGTAAATTGGGGTATAGTCACCCACGGAATTATATGCAGTAGGGAAAAAGGAGTGAGTGAAAAAATGTGGCCCAATCTTAGTGACAATGCCGAGTAGGTGAAGAAGGAAGTCTAAGAAGATTACATTTATCATGAAACTCTTTTTATAAAGTTCAAAACAGCAAAATTAAACAACACATTAACTGGGCACAATATGGACATGAAAATGCTATGTTTACAACAGAAAAAAGGACTTTATAATCTTTAGGTCTTTGAATCTGCTTATGTCCCTGAGGTAGGTATTCCAGTCATGGGAAACTGAGGCACAGAGAGGTTGTCACACACCAAAGCTCAAGGCTGGCCTCCAGAGCTTGAACCCTTGTCTGAGCTGGGGTCACTAGGCTGGTGGGGGCATGGGGTGATTGTCATCTCTCCATCTGGTCGGAAAGCCACCCACCACTCTGCCCTAGGGCCCCGCCCACCTGGCTCCAGGCAGGCTCGGAGGCAGTGCTCACCTGGGCCCAGTGCATCCGGCTGCAGCCAGCACTGGGCAGGGAAATACCTCTGGAGCAGCGCAAGCTGCAGGGCATCCTCACTGTCTCCCTCCTGGGTCTGGAGGGCCACAATGAGCCCACAGCCCCCGCCAGGCCCAACCTGGCTGAAGTGGGCAGCTGTATCCAGAAGCAGGGCAGCCAGGTAGGCGGCTTCCTGGGTCCCGGGGTCTTCTGCTAGGTACTCCTCCAGGCCGTCGAGCAGCAGGAGAGAGGGGACTGGCCCCCGGGCCTCATGGGCAGAGCACAGGAACCGGAGGAGCTCACGGGTTGAGGGTGGGTACTGGAAGCGGATCTTCTACAGAGAGGAAGAAAGGAAAGGGTCAGATTCAGCACAGGAAGCCAGGCTCCCAGCTATAGACGCTTTGCTTCCTTGCATACTTTCCTGGACGAGGCTCTCACTCCCCAGAATGGTGATTCCAGAGTGAAGCTGCTCATAGTTGAATACTATTCTGATCGCGCCTCCCCTTCCCCTTTCTTTTTAATACAGCGCTCACCACTGGCCGGTATTAGTTGAGAAAAGGTACGTCTCTTTGCCAAATCTCTAGGGCAGTCTTTCCACAGAAAACCCGCCCATAGCGTCGGACCCTATCGTTAACTCCGGCTGCCCAGAAACCAACTCCTACCCAGACAAGACCCTGATTTAGCTCCACCCCTTCCTCGCCCCTGACTCCGCCCTTTTGGCGCAGGCTTTTGCTAATTCCGCCCCCTCATTGGGTGGTTTCTCACTCAATCTTAACAAAGCTTCGCATGGTCCCACCCCCGACTCATTCCAGAATCTATCCCGTAAAGGCTGCTCTGGCTTGCCCCTCCTTCGTCTCCGCCATGGTCGGGCTACCTGTCACTCCATCCCCCATCCGCCCCGCTACTGGTTGGTCCGCCTCTGGTCCTGCCCTTCCCTACCTGTAGCCGCAGCGGTTCGAGAGGGGCTCTAGTCCCGCGCGGCAGGCTTTGCAAAGGCCTCCGGGTCAGGAAAAGGACTGGGCCTCGACCCTCCCCTGCCGCCTCCAGGGCCGATGCGAATAGCAGCGCTGTCTTTCCAGAGCCTGGGCCACCGAGCAGCAGCAAAGGCGGTCCGACCTCAGTTGTGTTCCCCTCCCCGGTCCCAGACGCGCTGCCTGAGCTGAGCACCCGCCTCAGCGTCTCCGCCATTCGCAGCGTACCTCTGTCCAATCGGCGGCCCCTTCCTGTCTTAAATCCCGCCCAAGATGAGGTCTCATTGGTTACAGTGCACTTAGCTTTTCCATTGGTCCAAGAATCTGTTCATCAAAGCCAAATAACGTTTCCTAGCTCCTCCCTGGTGAAGGGGCAAATAACCTAGTCTGAGGAAGGAAAGGAGGCTTTTGAGGGAAATAAGGCTCTTCCCTGGGTGAGTCCGCCGGCGGAAGCAGCACGAATACTATTATTGTGAGCTAATCAGCTAATCAGACAATATAAGGGCTAAGATTTGGAGGGAGCGGGCCCTAATCACTGATACATTACTTAAAGTCTCCTAGCCTCAGTTTGCTCACCTGTAAAATGGAGCTCATGATATCTCAAGAATATTGTGATGAGCATATTTCTGTGTTTTTGCTGATGTAACCCAATGACAGTGGAGAGGTGGAGATATGGATGAGCTGTGTGCTCCTCTCTCTGCATTTGAGTACCTGCACAAGTGTGTGTCTGGGCCTGCAGGCTTGCGGATTTTCGTGTGCATAACAGCAGCAGCCACCTCCGAGGATCTGTGAGAAGGGGAGTCTCAGCTTCCTCACTGACTGGGGGCCTGCTGGAGTCCTGCTTGGGGTACGAGGGTGGGGGAAGGCAGGACCACGGAACAAAAAAGGGGCCAGAAGAAAAGAGGCAAAGGGGCAGGGGCTGGGAGACTGAGGGAGAGCCACAACAGGACCTTGTCACGTTCACTTTGGTATCTCCAGCTCCCAGAACAGTGCCTTGCGCCTTGTAGATTCTCAATAGAGTTTCATTAAAGGAGTGAATGAAGAAAAGAAGGGAGGATCGATATAAAACTGGTAGAGAAGGAGGAACAAAGTGAGTGATCAAGTGATCACTGGTTGGGTCTCTTCACCTAGACTTCTCCCCAGAGCAGCCACTCATGCCCCTGTTGCCCTGGCAACTCTGTCTCCTGGTAACTTCAAAGTGGTGCTGTTGCCAGGAGACCCAGGGGCAGGGCAGAACTGTGATTTCCAGGGATTTCGCTCTCCCTCTGGGGCCAGAACACAGCTGAACAACATCCTCTGATACACCCACTCACACAGCTAGGCACCCCCACACCCCTCTACACACACACACACGCACGCACACACACAGCACAATGTTAGATTGCATTGTCAAATGCACTACCTCAGCCCCATGATTCACCTCACTTTGCAACACTCTAAATGCACAGGCACCTAGTAGTGACACCCGTATTGCAGTTCCGCAGTTTTATACATGGGAGCATGCCAAACATAGCCCCATTTCAAGTCCTTTGCTCTTGCTGTTCTCTTGCCTAGAACACTCAGCTCCCAGAGCTCCCTCATTTTTTTTTCATTCCATTCAGGTCTCTGCTCAAATATCACCTACTTAGAGAGGTTTTCCTTGGCCACCCGTGTAAAGTCACACCCCCTTTATTCTAACTGCTTATCCATCTTTCTCTTCAAACAACTCATCACTTCCAACCTTATGTAGTAATTTGATTGCCTCTCTCCCCACTAGAATGTCAGTTCCACCAGGGTAGAGTCCATCTTTCTTTAACTGCTGGGTCCCCAGCTCCTAGAATAGCACCTGGCATACAGTAGATGCTCCTGAATGTAGCTGAGTGAGTACATTGCAGAGATGCAGACATTCGATGTATCTCTCATGAACACAGTACTTCTTTCTTTCACTTCTCCGGATACCATTTTCACATCCTGATAGAAGGAACCTTACCATAGAGGGACTCCCTGAAGGAGGCAGGACTGAAGGGTGAGGGAACAGGGAAGTGGACAGCTCAGGTTCAGTGTGTGCTTCTCCTTGGTTTATCAGCATCCTCAAGTGATTAGTTCATTCATTTAGCAAACATTTCTTGAACATCTACTGTGTGCCTGGCCAGCTCTGTTCTAGGCACAGGGGTTCAGCAGTGAAAAGACAAAAATTCTCAGTCCTGGAGGACTGACATCCTAGTGAGGGAGGAGATAATGGCCACCAAGCATAATGAGAAGTTTAAATAGTCTATGAGCAGATGATAAGTGTGTGAAAGAAGAAAAAAAGTTAGCACAGGAAAGTTGGAAAGGCTAGTTGTTTGGGTCTTGCAATTTTGAATAAGGTGGTAGGGGCAGGCCTCACTAAGAAGGTAACATTTGAGAAAAAGTTTGAAGGAGCTGAGGAGGTGAGCCATGCAGATATGTGGGGGAAGACCATTCCAGGTGGAAGCACCTGTAAGTGTAAAGGCCTGGATGCACTGGGAGATCTTTGGCTTTTACATAGAGTGCCATGGGGAGCCCTGAGAGGGTTTGAGCAGAGGAGGGTCGTGGTTTGACTTACATTGTCAAGCAGAGCTTAGTTTTGGTCCATTTGAGTTTGGCAGGCTATGAGACCCACTGGGGCAATTAAAGAAGCCCTTTGAATAAGAAAGCACAATTTAGTCTGGAGTTTCTACCTAAGATTTTCCAGCCTAGGGTGGGGTGTGGGCAAGGCCAGAGCTGCTGTCTCCACCCTCTCTAGTGGGTCCCAGACACTTCTTTGTGCCTGGCGGCCCCGACTTTTCCCTCTCCTAGCCCGTGCTTAGCATCAGAACCATGGACAGCGCCAACTGGGTTGGCTGGTGGGCGCTGTCCACCGTGCTGAAGTCTTGCTTCTTTCCCTGCCCGCAGTGATAGCAGCTGTGCAACGGGAGGGACCATGGGTCTCAAGGGTGCAATCCCTGGAAACAGGAGCTCTGGGCGGTGAAGCAGGGGACTCCATGATTCTGTCCCTCTTCTGCCTTCAGCCCTCTCATGCTCCCATCTAATTCCCCTGGGGCCCACAATCAACCCCACCACCTCCCCCACCTCCTCTCCCTCTGTCTGCCCCTCGCTGGCTCAGCTCCAGCCACACAGGTCTCCTCACTGTTCCGTGAACACAGCAGACACGTTTCCACTTCAGAGCTTTGGTTCTTGCTGCACCCTCTGTCTGGAATTCTCCTCCGCCCCTGACCGCGCATATTTGCCTGGCTTCTCTCCCTCCCTCCTTCACACCTTATCTCCAGTGCCAACTCCTCCAAAAGAACTTCCCTGACCACCCTCTTTAAACTGCAAACCGTGTCCCTATTCCAAAGCTGTCCCATTGTGTTCTCTAGCTTGAGTTTTCTCCTTAGCACTTATCAATACCTAACATATCAGAGATTTCAATCCCTGACCTAAATCCTTGATCCTAGAGTTTGGAGTTCAGAATTTTTCAGATTTTCAAAAGGCGTAATGCCATGTACTAACACCTCTAGTTGGACCTGGGATGACATTAGAAACCAAACACTATCTGCAATAAAACTTAAGAATATTCACATAAAGTTAAATTAATAAAAACTGTAATAACCTTATGTCAGTTCAGGCCAGGTATTGCCACAGATGGGTTATGAAAACATTTTTGGCTTTCAGACCTTGAAATTTGGAATTGTGGCATTGTGTATAACTTATATACCTTGTTTATTGTCTGTCTCTCGGGTGTTAGAACATGAGTTCCATGAGGGCAGGATTTTGTCTGTTCTGCTCACTTGCTGCAGCCACTGTGCTTAACTAAATAGCACCTGGCATGTAGTAGGTGCCCCATAGTGTTCGTTGAATGAATAAGTGGGTGGATGAGTGAGTAAACGAGGAACAAAGGAAAGCAGACTCCCCTTTCCTAGTTTCTGGATGACTCTGCCCCGCATGGCCTGTCTGAAGCTGCTTAGAGCTAAAGTGTTTGTGGGGGGAGGGGAGTCTGTGGCTCCCTGTTCCTCCTACCTTCCCTGGTCTCTGTTGGGTCCTCAGGGGTTGGTTCTCAGCACAAGCTCATGATCAGAATCCCTGCTGTAGTCCATGTAGTTCAAGGGTTCAGCTTGGAGGTTCCTATCATCCTCAGCATCCCCTTCACTCTTAGAACATTTTGGGTCCCCTCACCCTATTCCCTGTGTTCTCTGCACCCTGGTCATGGTCAGAAACAGACCAGCCATCTGGGAAAAACAGTCAAGTGAGGTCCCTCACAGTGTGTTTGTGTGCCTTACATGTGGCTTGTGGGGCTGTTCGCATTTGACAGATGAAGAAATAAGGGCACAGAGAGGTTAATGAACTTTCCTGAGGCCACACAACCAGAAAATGCTGAGCCAGGATTTGAAGCCAAGTCACAGATCCCACAGCCCTACAGTGCTTCTCCACAATCGCCCTTAGATACTGTGACAATACCTCCACTTCCAGCCTCACTGATACCTAGACCCACAATTAAAGTCTTCCACACCCTGCCACCTGGGGGAGGAAGGCAGGTGGCCAAACTTCTGTTACAAACAGGTCTTTATTAAAGATGAGGAGCAGGCAGGAAAGGGGGGGCAGTGTCTCCCCTGCCCACAGCCTTTGGCTGCCTAGGGTGGAGAGCCCTCTCTGCTCCACTCATGCCTCTGTGATGGCACAACTGTATGAGGCTGAGGCATAGGTGGCAGTGTGAAGAACAGGGATGGGTTCTAAGGGGAAAAAAGTCCTTTCCCACAGCCCTAATAAATAACAGAAGGATTTGAGGTGGCCTGGGCACAGAGAAGGGGAGACAGCACCCTGAAACCCAAAACCTCTGAACTGGGGCAAGCCCTGCATAAGTAAGGAGTCAAGAGGACTGGGTGAGAGATTGCATGTGGGGGAGGGGCAGAGAGGAGAAGGGGCACCCCAAGGACCCTGCCATGGGGGAGCCTGCCCCCCACCCTCCAACTGGACTCTGATTATGAGGAGAGAGGACCCAATGACAAAGGATAACCCCATCTCCCTCCTCTCCTTTGTATATGCTTAGACATGGGCGGTCCCCCATTGACTGGAATCATACCCACCCACCCTAAAAATTCTGAGAACCAAGGACTCTTATTGGTTGTTCAAACGCTGAACACTGGCTGGAGCTGCCCACTTGCCTGAGGAGTCTAAGAAGTAATGGGGAGGCTACTATTGGCTGGAGTAAACTCCTTTTGGTTAAAATTCTAAGAACTGGGGGGCCCCCATTGGCTGAGCAATGGCGGGGGGAGGCTTTGGCCCTTAAAGGTCAATCTTAGGAGGCAAGAACCCCCCACCCAATTTTGCCCACTTGGAAGATGTCCCATTGGGCAAGAGAGGCAGGGGGTTCCTCAGATGTCCTTCCAGTCATCCTCTGATGTCTAGGCCTGGCTGGTTTGGGGACAGGGGCTTTGGCACTCACACAACACACGCACACACATGTGGCGGGGAGAAATGGGGACCGGGTAGATTCTGGGTGGGTGTCAGGCCTCACAGCAGGTGGTCACGGCTGGCAAATAGATAAGGGCTGAAGTTGTCCCGGTGGAAGGGGGAGGGATAGAGTCCGCTAAGGGTATACAGGTCCCGCAGCAGGGGCGTGGGCAGCAGCAGCTTCCGGCCACGGCCACCCCCCCACCGGCCCCCCAGGC